GGTAACAACACAATCACACAAGAAATGCCAAGTTACAGAAATTCATTGTTTTTAGTTTTCCAACTCGCTTTTACATGCAAATTTTCTTCTGCTTTTTTCATGTGTGTCCGTGTTACAGAAAGTCCTATAAAATATTTACTGGTGTGAATATATGTTTACATGCAAAACTCCTAAAATCTAATTGTCACATGGTACGTAGTGTCAAATGTTGTTGATGGAGCGCAAAATAACAAATAAGCGATGACCCTAGCTCCCAGACAATTTGGAAAATGAATGAGAAAAAAAAGATAGAGGACCCAAAAATAGTGAATTTATAAACTTGTTTCTTTTAGTCAAATAAACAGTGTGAGTGGATGTTTCAGTGTGAATTAAAAGTATATTTGGTCTGTACGAGTCCATATTAACGTGATGTGAATTTCGTGCGCATCTAAAATCAGCCTATATCAAAAGAAAAACAACTTACTAGACTACTGTCATAACTATCAGAAGTTAGTTTTTAAAATCCCTTAATATATATATATATATATATACATCTCACCTTGATCTTGTCTATATTTCAACAGCATGTTAAGTGGGTTAAGAACCTTTAAAAATAAAATAAAAATCCATGACAGGGATTTAGTTTTTAAAGGAAAGAATCTCTCCCAAACTGGAGTGTTCAGGGATCCCCCTTCATTCTTTAAGAACCCTTATCAACTCTGTTTTGTTTAATATCATCCCTAAAAACGATTAAGTTACAGAATACTTGTTCACTTAGTGAAGGTGACACGTCACACTATCTATCAACCAATCATTAAAGAGAGTGAAACTCACAACCAGGTTATTACAATTCGTGACTGGCATTATTATCGAAATTCTTCAAAGTATAATGATATGAAATGCATAACATTAATTTGCATTTGGTTCCCATTTCCTGGCAATTTTAATACCTCCTTTCGAAGTTCTTCATACAAGATTGTTTAATCACGATTTCCTAGTGTAGTGTTTGGGATTTTGTTATTTTTGGCTAACGTAGGTTTGAACAACTTCAAGTTAGTGTAGCACTTACAGTACATATGACATTATATTAAGAACATAGGGGTTCTATAAAAAAAACTCCGTATTTGTCAGATCCAAATGTACGAAAAATGACGATTACGTTATGTTACACATTGAGCATCTAATGCTTTATATTAAGTTCTGAAATAATGGCCGCCTTTAAATAAACTATTGAATGTCTTCTTCTTAATATTGATGTGAGTAACAAGGGTAACGTTGAATTATGTTGAATACAGTACCTTAAGCTTCTTAGCATGGAAAGCAAGGAAACGTTGAGTTATTTATATAATTTATGCAGCTTATTTTGGTTTAAGAAACAACTAACATTTGTAAAATGAATTAAGAGTTTGAGTTTTCGTCTTATTGTTGAACATAAGTTCTGAGTACATTGTCTAAAATCTGAAACTTGTAGTTTATGTGAATATCAAATTCAATTGCATTTTTATGATCTTTATATGCAGTGTAATGGTTTGTTTTACTTAAATCAATGAATTACATCGTTCTAGTTGTTCCCCGGTGAAACAGCGGTAAGTCTATGAATTTACAACAATAAAATCAGGGGTTCGATTTCCATCAGCGAACACAGCAGATAGCACAGCTTTTGTATATACCAAAGGGCAATCACAGTGATTAACGTGCAGCGCTGTGGCTCCGAGGTTCCATGGCTCGCACCCCTGTTACTGAGAAATATATATATATATATATAGCGCTCCACACTTTGGTGCTGTGGATGAATTATAAGAGTTACAGTCAAATACCGCTATTCGATTAGAATAGCCTACGAGTTGGCGATGGGTGGTGTTAACTAGTTGCCTTCTCTCGGGTTTATCTTTTCAAAATTAGAAACGGTTAGGGCATACATCTCTCGAGGTGGCTTTCCGCAAAATTCAACAAACAACAACCAAAGTTGTAGCAGCAAACATGTTAGTTTTCTAAAAAAGGCTATAAATATCTCGGTTATTATGAAATGTTATTGGTCTGTAAAAAAATTCTATTTTTGTAGAGGATTATGTTTTAGAAAAGTGTCTTACCATAGAATTTCTCGAATTTCTATTGTATTCTACCCTCCGATAGATTTTTTTTTACTAGTTAGTACGACAACTGATAGCTGAAGCTATCTACCAAGCATCGCCCCCTCCAGTGGCACAGCGGCGTGTCTGCGGACTTACAACGCTAGAAACCAGGTTTCGATACCCGTGGTGGGCAGAGTACAGATAGCCCATTGTGTAGCTTTGTGCTTAACTTTAAACAAACAGATCGCAGATAGCCCAATTCGTAGCTTTGCGCTAAAACAAATAACAACATATTTGAATAAACTGGAATATCTATAGACATTAACTGACATTAAAAATGATGTATTCAAGATAATGCTTGTTTAAAATGTTTACTTGACTTCCGCATGGCCAATGGATTTACAGCTGAAGGAGTAAAGACCCTGTGAATAAAACTCATTTCGTATTCAACTATTTGCAGTTTATCTATGAAATGTTTGTAAACTACAGTACATTTCAAGATTAATTTATCATTAAGAAGTCAGTACAATATACTGTATAATAATCCAATACATTTAATAAGCCCCTAAAACAGTAATGCTATTACTTATGTGATGAAAATATTTTACACGTACAAAAAACAGCCAAGATAGAATAAGGGTTCAACCATATAGAGATGATATATAAAAAAAGGAATCAAGTTGTATAAAAGGCAAACCTTGTAAAGATGTAACGAAAAAGTGGATACGTTTAACAAGAAAACAGTGGGGAAAACGTTGTCCCTTTTTTTTTTCATTCATGTTGCTATTTGTTCCAGTTGCCATAAAAATGGAGGCCCTTTCGTATGTCCCTAGTGGCTCAGCAGTGAGCTTGCGAGCTTATACGCTATTAATCGTATAACTGACAGCTTTACGCTTAAACACAAAACAAATAAACATTTTATATATATAACCTGATATCACTTCTTTATACGGCTGATCCCTTTATCTAACTTGGCTGTTTGAGTACATGTAGAATATTTTGATCAGATATCAGTATTTTTTGTTTTGATTATCAAGAGAAGCTATCGACATAAATGCAGTGTCTTAACCACTACGTCATTCTTTCATTTCAGATATATCATGTTCCAAGTTTTTCTAAAGGATCAGTTTTAACCTAGTGGTTGTGAAGAACAATTCATCATTAAAATTATCAAATATATATATATTGTTTGTTTGTAATTAAGCACAAAGCTACACAATGGGCTATCTGTGCTCTGCCCACCACGGGTATCGAAACCCGGATTCTAGCGTTCTAAGTCCGCAGACATACCGCTGTGCCATTAATATATAATGTTAATATACGTGCTACAGGAATCAGACTAATATCTACCCACTGAAATTTTGTTTGGCGCCAATACTCTTGATTCCTATATGTGTTGCTTCTTCATCAAGGAGGAGAACATGGGCAATAATTTGACCATAGTTTAACTGCTTAATCTAAAACAGATATGAAAATGTTGCTTTAAATGTGATGCAAGTGTGTTTAGATCTGTTTAGAAATATAAGATTAGTGGCGTTCCAGCATTTGGAACAGCTATGGCAATAGTCCAGATTTGGTCAAAGTTTATGGTAATGTTACTCCATCCTTCTATGTTGGTTGGGGACACTACCATGCCTCTATATTTTGGCACCATTCTGAGTGATAAAATTCAAGATTGGGACTGCAAACTAAGTTTGATTTTTTTTCAAAACGTTTTGGAAACTTTCATTTTTAATAAACTGCTTAGGCCACTCAGAGACGCATAAACGTTTTGATGACTGTAGCTAGTCCAATAAAAATGATATACTACTCTTTTGAAGTTGATTTAAGCAGTGTGTTCAGCATGTGGACTGAATTTTTATGGACTTCTTCAGTCGTTATTCTTGCCGCAGTAGGACAAAAATAACTGTATTTGTGAGTCGTACTTTTTAATTCTTAAACAAATTCGCGCCACATTGTCGGAACATCGCTAAAACTGGAGGGCACGTGAAAGATGATATACAAAGGGAAAATGTATATGTTAGACCTACTGTTTGGGCATCAGAGGGTTGTTCAAGTATAAAGAAGCTGGATGCCTACACTTTTGCGACATTCACAGCCGAAATACACATGTTAAGAATATGAAAGCTCGCAATTGCTGAGTGCAGTGAGCTTCAGCTGTATGACAGAAAGTGGCATAGCAGTGTTCCCTAACAGAGACACAATTCTTAAATCATTAGAAGCCTGATTAGTAGAATGACTCTTTCAGGTCGGAAGCGTAGAAGTTGACATTATTGAATAACTCTATGGTGGCCAAGCAGTGAATCGCAGAGTGTCTCTGACATAGTAATTTTTCCTTTACAAAACATCCTTAGGATTGCTCCAATTTTTGCAGTACTCCAAAATTGATGCGCGAATTACACAGGCCTGCGATGGTTTTATTGTCTTGAATTTTCTACATGTTTTACAGTAATTCTTGTACGCTGAATATGAAAATTATATCAATTTTTCTCCATCACGTGCAGAGTTGTTCCAAAACTTCATAACGCAATACATAAAAGAAAGACCACAACACCCAGTTTTGACACTAAAAAACGTAGATTTCACGAAAAAATCAGGCTGAATGAGGATGCATGTTCATTTGACATCAATGCTTTTTCCCTTTTCTTCAATTTGTTTCTATTTTTGTTAACAAATATAATAGTAAAAAAATTGTTCTTTGTGGTAAACGAAATAACAATTTGATCTAAGTAAGAGTTTTTTTATTTCCGATTTGTAAAAAATCCTTAGATGATAGAAAAAAATTAAAATTATTTTCGAAATCTGCGTAGCTGAATTATGGAGAATCCGTCATTAAAACCCAAACAAATTTTATGAACTTTAAATTCACAGGCCTGTATTATAAGTCACCCTATGTGTGTGTACAGAGACACTTGAATGAAACATTTTAAATGTATGTTTGATTTTCAGAAAAGGATCGCGAAATATGATCTACATTGACGAAACAGAGCCGGATCATGAAGGTATGACATTTTTTGATTTATAAAATAATTTTTTTATTTAAATTTAAATATTTAAATTAATCCATAAAACCTTGATCAGTATGTTTTAACTAAAATGTGATCATATATAGATTTAACTATATAATGTTATGAAATATTAAAAACACACTTCTCGTAGTTAAAAGAATCAATTATATTATATAATTCATTCATTAAGACACTTTGCGATTATTTATAAATGTATTTATTTATAACTTATTTGCCCCTAGTGGCACAGTGGTATGTCTGCTGACTTACAACACTAGAACCCGGGTTTCCTTACCCGTAGTGAGCAGAGCACAGGTAGCCCGTTGTGTAGCTTTGTGCTTAATTACACACACAAAAATAATTTATTTATAAATACAATAATATATTTTTGTTTTGTAGACAGCGTTCCATAATATGAGATAACATCAGAGTTTTTATGTATTTTTTTTCAGAGTTCGAGCCTGTTTTTGAACAAAGAAATGTCACAGTAAAACAAGACAAAGATGTAAAGGAAGAATATAACCTCTATGAGGAATTAGGAAGGTAAGGTAAATTAATCTGAATTTTTAAATATTTACTTTACATAACGTATGCCAACATACTGAAAGCATGGTTTGAATATGTTACTTCATAATTTCTAATTCAACAATTTTCTTTGTTTTTACAGTTCTCCATTTTTCTATTCACTTTGTAGGTTTAACTACCAACAGTTTGTGGCAAAAGTGCAATAAAGGATAAAAGTGTATTTTTAGGAGGTTAGGTACTTTTCATTATCGCAAAATGAATCTTTCAAAAGTTTTTTTATTATTGTTGTATGATATGTTTTTCATTAAGAAAATGCATTATTGTTTGTCTAGAGGGTGCTTTCACATCACGTGCAAGGGTGTTAGGAGAAGATTTCAGTATTATAAAAATGCGAATTACGCTAACGCAGTTGGTTATTAATTTTGTAAATATGTTACGCTGGTTTATTGATTATCGAATTAGTTAGTCTGCTTATCCGTTACTGTCATCTAATTAACCTGTTAGCTCAATTTTGTGAAAACTGAGTTTGTGCTTCAAGTACTAAAGATACGAGAAGTGGCGTTCGAGAAAACTAGCAAGTGAAATTATTGTGTTAATGTCTACTGTAGATTAAGGAGGAGTAGTATTGGCGTCGAACCGAGTATAAGTCTTAAAAAATGACGAGGACATTCCGACTGAAGATTCTTTTCACTTGATAAAATATAAAACGATTTTTTCTAGTGTTAAATCGCACAGCAAAAACAGGCGTACCCCACGTAACTCGATAAATAAGGAAAGAAAATGCAAACTTGGCTTTTAACCAGACTTTTAGCTTTAAAAATTTGCCATACTTTAGTTTAAACATGAATTTGTTGTAAAAGTTTCTTTTGTATAGTGGATTCTTTTAGATTATACTGTACAAAGAAGAAGCAAAGTCCAGTCTACTTAATGAATAAAAGCGTTTTAGCTTTTCCATTACAAGTTTTACAAGTTAATGTTAACGTTAACAGATAGGTTTAATTAAGTCCCATGTGATATTTGTAAGTTTGATCTTTATATAAAACTTAATGTTTAACAGAAAATATGTTTTTATGTTTATTGAATTTCGCGCAAAGATACACCAGGGCTATCTGAGCTAGCCGTCCCTAATTTAGCAGTGTAAGACTAGAGGGAAGGCAGCTAGTCATTACCACCCACCGCCAACTCTTGGGCTACTCTTTTACCAACGAATAGTGGGATTGACCGTAAATTTATAACGCCCTCACGGCGAACATGTTTGGTGGGACGAGTATTCGAACCCGCGACCCTCAGATTGCGAGTCGAGCGCCCTAACCACCTGGCCTTGCCGGGCCTTTTGTTTGTTTGTGCAAGGTAATATTTATCCTGAACTTAAAAATATGTACGTATGATTATTGCAATGATAATAGTTTGTTTGTTTCAAGTTAAACACAAATCTACACAATGAGCTATCTGTTCTGTGCCCACCACAGGTATCGAAATCCGGTTTTTAGTGTTATAAGTTCGTAGGCTTACCACTGTGCCACTGGAAAGTGAAGATATGATAGACTAGAAGATAAAAGTGATGGCGAATTTAATCTCTTTTTTTTTATTTACATTCGTAAAAAGTTAATACGTTCAATAATAACACCCTTGAGAAACCCAAATAATTCTGATAAAATGCAACCATAACACAAACTTTAAACTATGTTGCTGAAATATGCTAAAGGTGTTATTTTTGTTTTAGGCAAGTTACCGAACAAAAGTAAAACGCTGCATGCACTTGGATTGGTAGTTTTTTTACAATAAACAATTATAAGTAACAGTACTTGTACAAATTATGCGTCAAGTTATCCTATTTCTAGAAAACGTTCCCACGCCTATAAATATAACCAACGTGACGCGCCAAAAGAGTATAAGTCAGTGTACAATAAAACTTCAGAAGCTATAACTGTGATTGTTATAACGCTTACTAATCGGAAAACTTCAGATATTTGGCCAGGAACCTTTACAAAGTTCGAACATTACAAATCGTTTAACTTCAGTGGATTCCCATCGGACATTAGTATTTTTACGAAAACCTTACCTAACGTCATCGGTGAAACTCGACCTGTAATCGGCGAATGATCAGCGAGAACTACAGGGCTAGCTAGCTCCCTACTAAGTGAATTGTACCTATATCAGCTCGTAATCAACTCGCTGTTCATGAACTCTCATTAAGATATCAAGGAAGTTCCAAAATAGAAAGAAGAATTTATATTGCTTGTAAGTTTGTGAAACTTTTGTTTATAAATCAGTGTTTACAATAACAATTTGTAATAACTGTTATTTTAAATTGTATTGTTGTGCGTATATTAAAACGTTTTTGTATTAAAAGAGAATACTGTGTGTATCAATCTTGTTGGCAAATATCATAAACTGACTATATATCGGCTTTAATTTAACTACTAATTTTAAAGTATCATTTAGCTCGGTTTCAGACCATTTGAAATTCTAATACGTAACAGATATCAAGGAAGTTCCAGACTAGAAAGAAGACTTTATATTGCTTGTAAGTTTGTAAAACGTTTGTCTATAAATCATTGTTTGTAATAACTGTTATTATAAATTGTATTGTTACGACAGCGGAAGTCACGTGACGCTGCCGGCGCGTCTGGCGCTGGTAGGGTGCGTGAAATTTCTCGAATGATCATGAATTATCGGGTAAGCCCGAGTTTGTTCGAGACGCCCTCTTTTTTAGTATGTAAGCCTGGTAGTGAAAGCCTGCGGGATCGAATGAAGAGAGTTCCGGGTAAGTTACGATTCTGTTTCGAGCTAGTGTGTGTTTTGTTATCGAGATTGTGAATCGCTGTGATATATAGCGTGTATTATAAAAGTAGCTAAGTTTAAAGTGACGAGAAACGTACTGATTGTGAAATTACTGTGTGCTAAACGTTTGTATCGAGGAAGAATAAACTGGTTTAATCGAGAAAGAACTTGTATCGCTGAAGTTTCTCGGAAAGAATTTCTACCAGAAATTAATAAACAAGCAGATACGTAACAGTGTATTAAAACGTATTTGTGTTAAAAAAGAAAACTATGTGTATCAATCTTGTTGGCAAATATCATAAACTGACTATATATCGGCTTTAATTTAACTACTAAATCCAAAGTACAATTTAACTTCTAAATTTAAATTATCAGTTAACTCGGTTTCAGACAATTTGAAATTCTAATACGTAACATTAACAGTTGTTTCCGAACTTAGATCCTAATTGGCATCATTAGCTGTGCGGTGGGCCTCAAACTTGGCAAGGAGGCTAGGCTGTTTCCGCTGCAAAATTAGAGAAATTGTACAAATGAAAAAAGAACCGATAGATGTAACTACCTCACACCACAAGACATTTACTCAATAAATAGCATAAGGCGAGACAAAGTGATTTATTGAGCGTTTTACTACAAAATTGTGCGTTTTTTTTCAAGAATTTTACAACCAAAAGAAAAAAAAAATAGAGGTATCAATATAAAAAATAAACCTTACATTATTTGTTCAAAATCTTTGAGGAAGGACGGCTTCCTTTTAATCTGATGAGCCGCCAAGGGTTATTTACTGTGCATCAAAGAGAGCAGTTATCCCCCACAGATATCTTGGTTTGCCACCCCCACCCCCCGATTCTGCAGGATATAAGATGATCGAAGTTTTCTTCACAAACGAATAAAAGAAACGCAGCTTTTCGAACATGATTCTTTTCCTATCCAAGACGGTAATATAGATGGTTGTCATGTGCTGTAATATAAATGGTTGTCATGGGCTGTAATCGCGCACGATTAGTGTATTAATTTGCTAGCAGACATTCATCTATTTGATTGATAGATCGTACTTGTTAAGCGATTATCGGAGCCACGTTGTCCAGTGTTGTTATATACATTACAATATTACGTTATATTCAGCAATATTACACTCCCATATCATAAATCCAATAGAAAGTACTGTGACAGTAGGTAGAAAGCGGGATACATTAAACGACAATGAGTCAACAAATAGGGACTCCCCCTTGTGGAAGAAAACAATCAATATTGCCTACGAATATTAGAAACGGAAAAATTACAGGGATTTTCTCATTCATTATGTTACTCAGTTCAGAGAATGATCTTCGTTTTGACACTACTTTTCCCCCGGCATTTGTTGTTGTTTTTTTCTGAAACAACACCCCTGACTATACTGTAAGTAAAAAGAAAGGAACATTTGTTGCACAACATTCTGATGTGGTATTAGTATTTATTTATTTTACTTGGTAATTATATTTTACAAAATTAATATAACTGACAAGTTTTTTTTGCCTGAAATTTTCTGAATGAAATAAGCATTGATAAAAATTGTCAGGTTTAAATTCAAGTAACTTTTAAAGAAAGTATTTGGGTATCTGTGAAAAATTTAGAATGGTACTCTTGTGGAATGCAGGCATATCGTATGTTTTATATCTGCTTTAGTAATATAGGAATTTTAAAAATCATTTATTTAATTTGTGTGCAGTTTTAGTATAAATATGTTGGCTAGAAGGCTGTTGAAATCGCTTTATTCTAGTTGTTTTGTTTCTGTTATAGATAATGTCTATTCCGATTGAAAGAATATTGTAGTGAAATATAGCTATCGGGTTAAACAAAATAGTAACTGTAATATCCTGTACTGGCTGAATTGACAATATCAGACTAATGCAAAGATCATCATGAAATAACATTGCCAACTGGACAAAAAAAGCATAAAGTTACACAACGGACTATGTGTCTATCTAATAATTAAACAATTAAAATTACATCACGGTAGCCCTTAGAAACTAACTGTTAGACTGAAACCCCTCGACTATTGTTTTCACCCGTCTTGATTTCAAGTGTAATGTTCCAATGTTATTAAAGTCTGTGCTGACTTTGTAAGAACAATGCTGATGGATGTGTATGTTAAGTAATAGGCGACTTTCTGCCAGATGATGGACGAGTAAGTAAATAAACTGATTTACGGGATACGATGAAGTTAGATACTTTAAGTGTCTTAACAGGGAAAAAAACGCAATATGTAGTTGGAAATATGGAAAAAATATATATCTCTAAAAGGTCAAAGTTTGTTTGTTTTAGAGCAAAACCATATTGGATTATCTTCCGCATTCACTAAAGGGAATCGAACTCCAGATTTTAATCTTGTACGTGAGTAAATTTATCGTTGTCCCTCTGGAGAACATCTGAAAAATCAAAGGCATAGCGTCCATATAGACCCGAAGGCCTGGGTATACAGAATGAAGTAATTAGGTTTAGCTACGACACTGTCGTCTCGAAGTCACTTGATAACCATTTCCATTTCATATAATTACTGCAAACATGCCCATATCAAAAACTGTCTATTGATGACTTCAGAGATTACGAATTTTCAGTAATCGTTGTTAGTAGTGGTGTTATTGAAACAAAACGGCTGCTGTATGTTATATGTAGCCATAATTTCGCACACTCAACTACATTTAACTACATCACGAGTTTTTCATAAATTTGCATCTTTTCTTTTTTGATGCAGTTTACTTGCATACAAAGTAGATAACTTAAAATCTTTATATTGTGTTCGAGAGATCTAATATTAGACTTTATTTAAGTAAAAATACACTACATTCAAATAACATGAAATATTCATTCTCAGAGGAAAATTCGGAACTGTTTATAAATGCGAAGAGAAGGCATCAGGTCGTGTCCTAGCGGCAAAGTTTATAACTACCAATAGAGCTGTTGACAGGAAAGACGTAGAAAGAGAGGTAGAGATTATGAGGGTTTTACAACATCCTCGACTCCTTCAACTTTACGATGCTTTTGATGATGGAAAGAAACAGATGTGTATCATCTTGGAACTGTAAGTGCCGAATTTTTTGTGTTATAAATTTTGGAATTTTCAGTTCAAGTCAAATGCTTTTTCATTGTTTTCTGGAATTTGCACGTTAGGTGAGAGGCACTTGTGACTATGTTATTATTATTATAATAATATGTTATTTTAAGACCAGCTATAGATGTTTTTCTTTTATTGTTATACGATCTATTTAAAGGACTGTTTTACATATTTTCATGTAAAATTATGTAACAGTGAAAGCTGCCCATGTTTATAAAGAGACCTCGTAAGGTCTTCTAACAACACATTTTTCGAGATAAAGATTAATTTACTGAAGTTTGCAACTGTACGTTTAAATGTCAGAAAATTTATGGAAATTTCAAAGGTTAATTATATTGACATTTTAAAATTGTAATTACAAAGAAAGTTTTGATTTTGATATACTGACCTGCAGTGTTTTGGAACCGGTATTTACACAAAGAAAAATTTACACTAAAAGAGATTTTATAACAAGTGCTGAAAGTTGTGTATGTCAGTTAGATAGAACAAAAGTGACAGCATTGCATAGTACTGGAAACATAAAAAAAATACGCTAATGAACATATAACACGTACTGTTCAGAGGAAATATATAAATATGATGTTTTAATCTTTATCAATGAATGAAAAAAAAGTAAGTTGTGATAATTTTAATTCATAATGATAAAAATCGTTCAACGTTTTTCTAGTAAGACAATATGAAAGCTGTAATACAGTATAGGCGTTATGTTTATAATACGTATGGCTCCTGTTGTGGAAAAGGACCCACTATATTTACTGTCTACCTAGGACAACTGTATTACAGAACTTCTCAAAGACCGTGGACAAGTATTTTGTGTTTATTTCCTATTTAGGATTGAAGGTGGAGAACTCTTTGAACGTGTTATTGATGACGACTTCGTTTTGACGGAGAAAGTTTGCGCTATTTTCATGAAGCAGATTTGTGAAGGCATCGGATATATGCATTCTCAGAACATTCTCCATCTGGATATGAAAGTAAGTTGGTCCCTTACCTACATTAACTCACCAAGAACAGTCTCTGTCTGGATAGAAAATTAATTTGATCCCTAATCTAGTTTAAAACTCTCAGAACATTCTCCATCTGGATATGGAGAATGTGGGTCCCCTACCTACATTAACTCACCAAGAACAGTCTCTATCTGGATAGAAAATTAATTTGATCCCTAATCTATTTTAAAACTCTCAGAACATTCTCCATCTGGATATGAAAGTAAGTTGGTCCATTACCTACATTAACTCACCAAGAACAGTCTCTGTCTGGATAGAAAAGTAATTTGATCCCTAATCTTCTTAAAACCCTCAGAACAATCTCCATCTGGATGCACAACTAATTTGATTCCTAATTTATTTTAATACTGTCAGTTACTTGATGGTTAAAGCAGATTATATTTAAAGCCAAGTGAAAAATGAACATGTATTTAAAACACCACTGGAAGCTGTTTAACATATCACATGCAGCACAAGTTTTATATGGCAATCATCTGTTGTCTATATTAATATTTTACGTGTCATATAATACATGCAAGTTCGACAGTATTAAACCTTTCAATTCACGTGCCTCCACCCTATGAATCAACAGTAAATTTAAGGGACTATAATGCTAAAAATAGGGTTTCGATACCCACGATGGGCATAGCACAATTAGCCCATTGTTTAACTTTGCGTTTAATAACAAACAATTCATTGCGGCTTTAAAAAGTTTCGAACATTGTTATCTTACACACAATCAGTGTTACTCTGGTTTAATGAAACATGTTTTCCAATGCTAGTCATAGATTCATTTTTCCTAAAACATTCCGAATTTATTTTATTCAAAAAATAGTTAGATGAAATATTATTTTAACTTCGCGTTTATTTTTCCACCACATGTGGCCATCTGGTTGGCCAGCGGCAAGTTTACGAGATTCCCTCAGTGGATGGATTAGATAGCACATTGTGTAGTTTTGGACTAAGAAACCAGCAACTTTGCCCTCCAGTCGGTCAGCGGTAAATTTACGAACTTACAACGCTAAGATACGGGGCTCGAATCTTCATGATGGACAGAGTTTTGCGCTAAAAACAAACATACATTCCTTACATATAATAGGAGATAATACTTTTGGATATTCAATTCCATTATCACTGTTACCGTATTTGTAATGTGAAAACTGTATATAATTATACTTTATACTTAAGACTTGTTTATTTTAGCCAGAGAATGTGCTGTGCTTGTCAAAGACAGGAAACAGGATAAAGCTAATAGATTTCGGTCTTGCCATAAAATTTGATCCACTCAAAAAGATTCAAATATTATTTGGCACTCCCGAGTTCGTTTCTCCAGAAGTGGTGAACTTTGATCGTGTTAGTTATGGAACGGATATGTGGAGCGTGGGTGTTATCTGCTACACACTGTAAGTATAACTGTTTGTATTTTTAGGTTAATAACAAGAAAATGACTAACTTTTTCTCTTGTGTTCGAAAAAAATCTCTCCTATTGAGAAGCCCAATAACACTAATCTGGCATACAATAGTTTAGTAAAACGATACTATTAAAATGCTAATGAAGATGTATTGGAAACAATAAACTCTCGTCAGAGGGGAACATAATTGTTAGAGTTTAGACAGTAAAAACTGGCAAGAGTTTACTTGTGCTTTTATTGACAAAATTATTTTGTCCACAATAATATTGTACTCTTATATATAAAATACAGCCACGTTTGGAACATAACATTAAAATATTACACTTTTAATTTCCAGTCTTCTACGACACAAACGTTTGTGGTATATTTGGTAAAGACAAGAGAGCCAATAGCAACTCTTTTTTTTTTTTTCTTACAGCCTATCAGGACTCTCTCCTTTCATGGGGGACAGTGTTCTTGAAACCATGGCAAATGTTACAAAAGCAGCTTTTGACTTCAACGACGAATCGTTTGAACCAATCACAGATGAAGCTAAAGATTTCATCTGTCAACTTCTTGTGAAGGATAGAACGTGAGTCACGTAGATGTATATATACATTTCTCGAGGCGTCTGGATTAACCCTTTATTAAGTGAAAAATTCGAACAAATAACCAGTGACGTAACTTTCATTTCTAAAGTGTGGGGGGAGGAGTTTCTGAAGCTGGGATAAGCTTGAATATATTCTATAAAATAAAATAATTCTATCCGTGAAAAAGTGCTGGGAATATCTCTCCCTCGTCCCTCATGAAAATTAGGCTTATGCAAGTAATTCAATTATAATAATCTACTTTTTGATAAGTTATTTTTTATACAGTCATCATTGACACGTAATTTTGGGAAGTTCAGAATGTGTCTACTGGTTTAAAGCCTTTAATATATGGGTTATTTCATATATATATATTTTGCTTCTAGCTAATTTCATTAAACGAGAGTTGATTCTTTAAAACCAATCAAGAGATTGTCAAAAATGATTGAAAATAAAATATCAAAATATACTAGATGGTCAAGCATTGGACGAAATATGTGAATACTAAATAAACGAATGGTTTTCAAGATTTGTTTTTGGACTAACGAACCATGTTTTTCTTTTCAGAGAAAGAATGAGTGCCACAAACTGTCTACATCATCCATGGTTGAGAGTAAGTTCATTCTTCATCAATTTGAATATGTAGTTATCATGGACTGCATTATCCTATATACAATCACATAAGTCTAATTATTAATTAGTTACTAGTTTTGTTGTTACTGCATACTAATTATTAATTACTATATATCCAACTTTGTGGTTACTAATCTTCCACCATCTTCAGAGAAGTTCTGAGAAGAGATGTGTGTGTTGTGATAGTGAATTGGATTAATAGTTACAGGGACTATTCAGACACCGTGCGCTGATTGGCTGCCTCAGATGAAAAGATAGAGACGATGACGTCATAGTTCCACGAGAGCGCATCGCTGGCAGCATGTTGCTAGACTGCCATGACAGTTGACATGTGGAAGTTGTCATGTCATCATGGTACTTGTTAACAGATGTTGTCTGTTACCAGAGAGCACGTTGCTATGATATGTCACGTGACATCACAGTTGCATTGCTAGGACTCATAGTTCTACGAAGTATATCAGAGGACGTGTTGTTAGAAGAGGTGGTGACATCATAGTTTAATATAGGAGAGACTGTTACTGCAGGCAGACGGACATTGTTACCAAGGGTAATGTTTCTGTAGGTGGTTGGTCTTACTAGGTGTTTTACCTGTGTCTTACAAAAGCTGATAGTAGTTCTATAGGCAGATGGTGTTACCAAGGTTCTATAGGCGGATGGCATTACCAGGTGTATTGTGTATGTTTTACATGGGCAGTTAGTGTTGCCAGGCAGATTGTATTACTAAGATTCTATTGGTAGATAGTTTTACTAAGAATAGTGCTGCAGGTGGTGTTTCTATAAACTGATAGATTAATAGGATGATGACCTCAGCGTGGGGTGTCTGAACATGTAATTATGTCATCAACATTGTAGTCTAGATTTAATTATATATCCTAAAAGATTTCAAGTAAAACCATTATTTAATGAGACAACTATTATATCATAGTGTATTACTTATGCCATTTTTTATCGCATATACTATCTCAATTTTTAAAATATTTGAATGAGGCAAATATTATTGTCTGTAATGTTTGCCTTCTTCAAATAATGGATAAATTAAGATCATATATGCGATACAAAATGGCATATCTAATACACTATGTTATAATAGTTGTCTCATTAAATAATTGTTTTAGTTGTAAATTTGTAGGGCATATAATGAAATCTATACTACAATGTTGATGACATAATGACATGTTAAGACATCCTACGATGAGTTCATCATCCTATTGATTTATAGTGTTTATAGAAACACCATCTGCCCAAGCAGCACCATTTTTAGAGAAAACAAAATCAGCTCATTGAACCTTGGTAGCATAATCCACCGAGTAAAACCAACTGCTCTTGGAAAACATATACAATATGCCTAGAACAGCATCCACGTGTAGTAACATCGTCCACCTATAGAACCTTAGTAACACCGTCCACCTATAGAACCTTAGTATCGCCATCTGCTTATAGAACCCTGGCAACACCGTCCGCCTATAGTGATAAGCCTTCTGGTATCAAACTGTGATGTCATTGCTTCCAATAACAACACGCCCTCTGGTACCACTTAGTGGAACTATGACTATGAGCAACACATGAACAATAATGTCTCGTGACATCTCCTAGCAACGCTCTCTTTGGCAGCATACAACATCTGCCGTCAAGTGTCATGGTAACATGACAACTTCCGCTTGTCAAGTGTCATAGCGGCCTAGCAACGTGACCCTAGCAACGCTCTCTCTGGTTCCACGTTGTTCAGCTATGACGTCATCGTTTCTACACCATTCCCTCTTCTGAGGTAGACAATTAATGCACAGTGTCTGAACAGTCCTGATAACTATTGAGATTCGATCCTGGGATCCTTTTCTTAGAAAGATTAATATGCTTGCACCATAAAGTGATTGGCAGAAATATTTTAAATGGAAAGATTAAATGGTATTAAAAGTTAAAAGTATTGAAAGTCTGTTTCGGAAATTTTGTATAAAGATGTACAAAGGGCTATATGTTCTTAGTCATCTCTAATTTTGAGCTGGTAGACTTAGAGGGAGGGCAGATAGTCAACAGTATCCAACGGCAACTCTTGAAACTTTATTTTCTGACCTATTAGAGGAATTTTACCATCACTCTTATAGCGTACACCATCCTAAGATGCGGATCTCGTACTACTGCGGCTATGGGCTGTAAACCTTGAACTCTGACACGGAAAGAAACGTGTATATAATAGATATAAACTAATTTCTAATTAGTGGTTATCAATTAAAATATAGTAACTTATTAGTATTAAAACTTAGGTAATTGTATAGGTTACTAACCTTTACAGTGATTGACATCTAATCGCCACAATCTTACCGTAAGTACTAAATCTGAGCCAGTATTTACTTAATCATTACTCTCCCTTGAAAGTTCGCCATGTTCTACCATTTAAAGCATATCAAGCTTGTACGTTTCCAAGGTGTTTTAACCTGGTAAAACTTAGGTAATTGTATAGGTTACTAACCTTTACAGTGATTGACATCTAATCGCCACAATCTTACCGTAAGTACTAAATCTGAGCCAGTACTTACTTAATCATTACTCTCCCTTGAAAGTTCGCCATGTTCTACCATTTAAAGCATATCAAGCTTGTACGTTTCCAAGGTGTTTTAACCTGGTAAAACTTAGGTAATTGTATAGGTTACTAACCTTTACAGTGATTGACATCTAATCGCCACAATCTTACCGTAAGTACTAAATCTGAGCCAGTACTTACTTAATCATTACTCTCCCTTGAAAGTTCGCCATGTTCTACCATTTAAAGCATATCAAGCTTGTACGTTTCCAAGGTGTTTTAACCTGGTAAAACTTAGGTAATTGTATAGGTTACTAACCTTTACAGTGATTGACATCTAATCGCCACAATCTTACCGTAAGTACTAAATCTGAGCC